GGCTTTTAAGATAACTATTTGTGCAGGTTGGGATGCTGTGCTCACACTGGGATGATTGGATCTTGGATGAACTATTTGAACAACCACCTGTGGGGAATAGCTGGATATTATTTGGCCATTTGGTACAAATATGTACTTCTATGCCCTCCACCTCCATAATGTACAGATTGGAAATAGACCTGGTTGTTCTGTGACTGATTGATTCAAGACGTTGCCCTGTGGTAATCTAGTTTGAATATGGTTATATGCCTGGTGGGAAATCATGTGCTACCTCTGTTTTGCTGGGAAGATTTTTGTATAGTCCTAGTGCAGGAATGGCCAACCCATGCCACAAGTAGCACAGACAACTGCTGTGCATGGGGTATGAGCCTGGGGTGTTCAGTAAAGGGAAGGACCATAATGGAGCCAGAGGGACTTGAGGCTCTGGCTGCATGGAGCAAAGTGGGGACAAGATGTTAGTGGGAAAGAGGTGTCAGGTATAACCATCAAGAGCCAGGCTAATCCTTCTCTGGCCCTGCAGCTGCAATGATACAGAGTTTTGGTTCCTCACTCTATATATAAAACTGCAGTGTTTGTGGCACCTGGGAAGGGCTAACCTGGTTCTTTGTAGTGTCCAGGGTTCAAATCACACTTTGACTTTTGCGGGGGGAGGGGAAAGAGGAGGGTCTGCAACCCCCCCCCCCCAAAATGGGGCTGCCCATCGCTATGTCCTAATAAAATCAGAGATCCCCCAGGTTATGATTTTCAAACTTACAGGGGACTCTTGTCTCTTATGAGTGGCTTAATATCCCCTTCCTCCCCCCTTCCCCCTGAGCTCTCCCATAATTTGAACCCTGGTATTAATGCCTCTCACAGCAGCATCCTGCCCCCATTCTGTTTTGTGTGGCTGGAAGCTCAAGCCCCCTACCTCAATGATGTCTCTGTGCAGCACCAGTATACAGGAACTGGGATATATGCAGGTATCCCAGCCTAAAATAACCTCTGTTCAGTGGCTCAGTAATTACTACATGCCCTGACTAGGCAGATTTCTTTCTCCCATGCACAGCTGCCAAGCGCCTGAGCTCATTACTCAAGTCAAGGCCTGAAACATAGATATTAGTTGTATAGAAGGATTTCATAATCATTATGATGACAGTTGATGCAACAGTGACCATACTCAACAGAAAAGAGATGGCAGTCTTGCATATATGTGCTTGGCTGAGAAGGAAGTCAACAGGGCAAAACTACTATCTGTGGATTTATGACTGAATGCCCACATCAGAAATAAACTTTCCCTTGCATTTTTAAAATTCTTATTAGGCTGGAAATCTAGACCAGAAATGAGAAAAGGCTGGGTGGGATGGGTGTGTGTGGAAGAAATGGGCCTTTGAAAATCTATGTGCAAAATCCTCCCAAGTCATTTGTGGATCTAGCACTAAATTTAAGAAATCTCTTCTTTCACTAACCTCTCCTCTGTTTTCAAATCAATATAACTGTATTCCATTCAGCCCTTCCTGTTCCTATCCTTCAGCATTCTTTTAGGTATTATTCCACTGTTCCTTTTTTTATATTAAGTTTGAAAGTATATTTGCTATGTTGGCCAAACATGTCCTGGAGCAGCAAAAAACGATATAAAAGCTCTATATGAAACACAAATACCTGTCTGTGCTTTCCTTGCTGAGACAAAGGGTCACTTTAGTCAAAAAGCTTTTAGGGCCTCCTAAGGTTGTGCTGAGATTTTAGAGAGGTTTTGGTCTCGCTTTATCTTGTACATTCATGTCTGCATATATTCTTTAAATGCAAACCTCTATATAATTCTTATTGTCTTCAAGAACCAACTAAATTAATGGTGACAGTTCTTTTGAATAGTTGCTAACTTTGGTAAACTTTTACTTTTTTTCCACATTGCTGGTATATTTGGCTAAAGCTTAAGAGCTTGTTTATTCTTAAAATATTTTGGTACTTTAAGTGTACCATTATAGTCGCATCCCTCCTTCATACTGTGGATGTCATTATACAAAGTGCTTGCATTTGGACAGCTTATTACAAATGGGCAATGAAACAAGTTGAAGGCACTGTCAGAACTGTGTGAACGAGTCTACGCAAAGACTTTTATAGGCATCGCTATGTCAGGGGAAAAATGTTAATCACACCCTGTACTGACCTACTTAGAGTAGTAGAAGTTTTAAGTGTAGATTAATCACGTCACTTGGTTGACCCCAAATCACCTGGGTGCTTCTGAAAATTTTACTGGGATGATGTCTTGCTCTCATCAAGAAGTGAAGGGATAAATAAGGAGGAAAAAATGGTAAAACCATTGTTAAAACTTAAATGAATAATCTCAAACTTAGAATAAGCAAACAAAGGATTAATTTGGGTTATGTTGCATCTGGACAAAAACCTTTTTATTCTTATTTAAGCTATTTTTGAAGTTTCTGGGGTGTAGTGATTACCACTGTAATATCTGGAGGGTTTTTTATGTGGAACAACTTTTTACATGTACACAAATTGCATACAACTAGTTAAAGTAAGAGATAACATTGGCTGCCCTGCTTCTGTTCTGCCACCCAGAAGTGTCTGCTGGCTATCTCCTGGGAGGTAATACTTCATGGACACTTCATGGGTTCAGAAGGACTTGCTCTGTCACAAAAGACATTTTATTGCTTCTGTATTAATGGGAGCGTGATCTGCCTGGCTAACTTCCTTGGCTCTGATACCTTCAAATCTTCTGTTTCTTGGTCTGGGTGCACATTAAGTTTCTGTTTGGACACTTCACCTTGCAACAAAATGTGGACCAGTTTGTGTCATGCTGAGTCACTGAGGGGAAACAGTGCAAGGTGGAAGACGGACAGCTAATCCGAAAAGTGAAATCCCATGAAGGTTGCTGGGGTAAGGGAGTTTCCATCTCTGGTGATATGTGGGTTTGCATTACCAAGAAGTGTTTCATTCTTGTCCCCCAGGAGGGCCACATGTTTTTCAACTTGTTTTTATTTAAATATTTTAAAAATAAAGAATTATTTATTTACTCTATTTCTGCTCTTTCCCCTCCACCCTAAGTACTGATTAAGTACTGATTCTCTTAAATATGGTGTGTCAAATTCATCCTATGGGCCAGGTCCAGCCTGAAGAGCCCTGCAATCTGTCCCCTGGCACTGCCCCTGGGTCTGATCAGACCACATGGAGCACAGTGTGCACCCATGGTATGGGCAGGATTGGGACCAAAGACTCCCCCAGTATACATAAACCAGTGTCTGCTCCAACCATTCAGCATGGATCCTGAAGTGGCCAGAATGGGCACTACACACAGTGCAGTCTGGCCAGGGTGGCAGCTGTGCAACCTCCTTGGCCAGACTGAGTTGCATGCTCTGAGACCGTTCCACATACAGTGCCTGTCCCAGCCAGTCTAGGACCCATGTGATGCTCATGGGCACATGTGCAGTGGAAGTCCTGGACGAGCTGAAGCCAGCGCCATATAGCACAGTCCCAAGGCTGCTGGGGTGGCTGCCACAGAGTATAGTCTCCGCTCCAGCTCGATTGCACTGCACATGGTACTGATTCCAGATGCTCCAGGATTTGTGCTGCATGCAGCCCAGGTCCCAGATTGACTGGAATGGCTGCTGGATCAGGTATGCTGGGAAACAGGATGTGGAAGGGGGTCCATGGGCCTGTTCTGGCCCACAGATTAGCCCTATACCATTAAGTCAGCCCATGGGGCTGTATGAGTTTGGCACCCCTGTCAAATTCATCAACATCTTCCTGATTGACTATCAAAATATGCTATTTGTGAACAAATTTTGCTTTTTGCTTAACGTTTACTTTACCTTGTTTGTTTTATTTTTTGCCATTCTCTTCAAAGTGGCTTACTATAAAACGGTACCCCAAAGAATACCTGCAACTTACCCCACCTGCTAACCACCTGCCCAAATAAATAACAAGCTTTACACTGCTTTGAAAAGACAATCAGGTTTGGGCTCTGGAAGCCTCAAGTGGGTGGAATTTCCAGAGCTGAGGAGCAACAACTGAGAGTAACTTCCCACAAGTTTTTGGCTAAGTGAACTTGGCGCACAGAAAGTACTTTCAGGAAATGCTTTAGAACAGTTCACTCTATTGCTCTATTCACTCTATTTACTCTATTTATTTTCCAACCTCTCAACAGTTTCTGTTGATTTGGGGGTTAAAATTTGTCTGTCTATGTTTTGTTGGGTTACAAAATGATAGAATGATGACACATTCATTGTCTAATGAGTATAGTTAAAAAGTCCACATGTAGTAACTTCTTTTGTATGCATGCAGCTACCAAAGCATTTTTTCAAATCCCAAGTACTTCCTTCTTGAAAAAAATCAGCCTAAGAAGATTTGCAAGGTTATTCTATTCTATTCTATTATTTCTAAGGCATACATTAAAGCTGTTTCTCAGAAATGTAGCTGTCCTTTTAAATAATAGCAAATAGATCTTAAGTTCAATATCTAACAGACTGGTAAAGTTCTCAAACCTAGTGATTTTATTCTGTTAAATGACTAATTCCCTTTCTGTAAACATAGCTCTCGATACTTCTTCCATAATGCTTCACGGTGGGGCTTCTCTGTGGGTTTGAAGGCATTTTTCTTGTTTTCTCTCAAACAGCTCTTCATATAGGGCTTGTGTGCAAGGGAAAGGAAAGCCTTGGCTGGAATTAAACCCCTGTTTCCTGGGACCAATTTTATCATATTTACCAGAATCCAAAATGATTGAATGTAAGTTGACCCTTCCCCCACAATAATTAGACTCTATACATGGAAATGTATCAATTTGTTATAATTTTCTATGTATGGAATCTAATTATTGGAGGGCCATCTTAACTCCCCTGCCGTGGCAGTAAAAACAGAGGCAGGGGATGAGGGGCCATACCCCCAGGTCTTGCCCTCCCTAGATGCTGCCCTCTGCCACCTGTGCTTACCTTCTGCTTATTGTCTACCTCTGGCTCCAGCTCCAGCTCCAGCTCCAGAGCAGCCCAGCCCAGCCAGGGAAAAGCAGCAGCTCTGGATCGGGGTCAGACTAGAGCCAGAGCTGGAGGTAAGTGGTGGTGGTAATGGGAAGGGGGAGGCATATATGGCAGTGGGGATAGGCTGTATGGGGGAGGCTCCCCTGCAGTCCCTCCTAAGCAGCATGGGTCTCCGCTGGGTACTCCCTCCCTACTCTGTGATTTCCTCTCCCTCTGCCCCCGCAAGCCCTCTCCTCCATTGCACAAGCCACCTGGGCCCAGGACAGGTGGTGGCTGAGCTCTGGTAATACCGCTACATTCCATCCCATTACTATGAATAAAAACACTGCAGTATATGGCAGCAGTATGCTCAGCCCTGTAGCCAGTGGCTGGAGAACTAGTGATAAAAAGAAATGCTTTTCAATATACAACAGTAAATGCAAATCTGTGTTTTCAACTTTTAATCTGAAGGTAATTAGCATCTTGTGTCATCTGGAAGAAAAGTGTCTTTTTGCCACCTGCTGTAGATAATGTTCCCAGTGCATCTCAATTATAAGCTTATCCTTTTATACAAGGCTCTTGATGCCAGCATAAAACAAAGCTGGCTTCCTAGCATAGTCCCTATAGAAGTAAGTTTTGAACATACACTGCTTTTTGTAAAATAGGATTTTTTTTTACTTCATGCCCATAAACCTAGGCCAGCAATGTGCTGAGTGGCATATTTTCCAAAGGGCTGTGGTTTTGTGTGTCTAGGGTATTCATCTGCTACTTTTATAGAAGCAATTGATACCAATTGGAAGGTATAAAGTCTAATGGGATCAATTGAAAAGGAAAAACCCTTTCTATAAGTTTGAGAGAAGTCACCTGAAATGAGACAAGAAAAGACACTACAAAGCATTACCTCCTAGCGACACTTCTTGCCCTCTGAGATGCTTGAGGCAGATTGCTTAATTCGTTCCCTCCAGCTCATCTGAGTTACCATGTAATTACTTTTGTATTATTTGTCTTCAGATATAGAAGCAAAACAAAGGCACTTTGTTTTCTCAAAAAAGGCACTTTTTGTTTTCTCAAAAAATTCAGTTAATTTTAAAAAAATGATTCCAGCTATTTAAGCGCACACTTTCCTTTTTTTGACAGTGGTTAGCTTTTTTGCTTGTGGTTGGGGTAATGAGGCTAATTCTATCCACTCACCAGATTCATACTAGTGTAAATCTACTGATTTTAATGGAATTACCGTGTTTACTTGGGTGGAATTTGATTTAATCCGGTGTCCCACTGTCTGCACTTTTATGTCTCTTTACTACTTCCCCTTGAAATATATAGCCTTCTAGTAATGTTTTATTGCATTCAAACTCTCAGCTTCACCTTTGTGAGTGCAAAGGTTATTTGAACATACTGTTTAGAAAGAATACATTTTTATAATTTTTTTTAGCTTCACCTGTATTGGGGAAAGCACAACTGTTTCAGTTCATAGAAAACTGGAATATTTGGTTCATTTATCTAAAACTAGTCAATTGCCCATCAAGAGTGATGCGGGGTGGGGAGGCTGGGATGGAGTGCTGCCACTGTTCTGCCTCTGCTGGCCTTGGCTCTCCCACCCCCTGTCTGGTCCTTGGTGTAGCTTTGAAATCATGGTGGCGCTGCCCCATGCTTGGAGCACTCTGATGAGCTGTTTCCATGAGCCAATCAGAGTGCAAATAAAGTGTTACGGACAGACAGACAGGCATAGGCTTTTATAATATTAGAATTACGCGGTCTCAGAAGAAGATGGGAATAAAATAAGAAGAAAATGATGGCTAATTCTTATTAAGAATTACTCATATAGTGCTGAAATGAGCTATAGAGAGAAGGCCAGGTATTCATTTTACACTATTCTGTCAGATGGTGCTCTGTATTTCAAACTATTTTTTTTTTTTTTTTTTTTTTTTTGTCCCTTTCCTCCCTTCTCACATATCTTCCACAGCAGCTGGATGAGTGGTTTGACTGGTCCTAATAGCATTTTTTTTTAAATTTAAGTATTGCTTTCTCATGTCAATCAAAGGATTTAAATAGCCACTCTTTTTGGTTTCAGCTGAAACGGCACAGATTTTAATGCGTGCACAAAATGTGGGATTTTTATCCTTAAAAATTAACAAAAATGTTTTTCTGACATTAGCTGTTTCAGGTTGATGCTTTATTAAAATGAATTCACTAATGCCTAGTCATTATTCTGCCTTTAAATATGTGTTGGTTAACTTCTCCCCTTGCAACAAAATCTGCTTGAAAAGGAGGAAGCAGAAAATGCTGGAAATTTCCACAAGAGTAATAAAATAACAGGAGACAGGGCTTGTCTCTGGGCAAGGTTAGTACCAACAAGGCTAGATTGTGGCAGTGAATAGTACTAGGTTAAATTGATCTCAGAGTGTTTTGAGGGTGCAAATTTTGTAAGTTGCTGTGCAAATACTGTGACAAGAGTATGTCCTACGCCCTGGGTACTTGTCAGCTCACCTTTTCTGTGGTGCTGGTTTTATGAAGCATTAGCAACTGACTGGTGTTCCAGTGCCATAGGGATTCAGGGAACACCCAGGTTGTGAATTATAATAGTATGTAGTGGCTCTGAACCTACAAACTTGATTGTCCTTTTCAAGCATACATATCAGCTGCTCTGTCACAGGACCACGAGTCTAAGGTATATTTTCCAGATCGTATGTGTCATGGAAATATTTGTGTTGGCCAAGGAATGATGTGATTGACCACAGCTGATTATACTACCTGGATTATGGGCTGATTTGCTGAGCATGCATTGTGCAGAGTCAAGTGCACGAGCTATGTAAGGGTCTTTCAACTGTTACTAGAGGAATGATTTCTCCATTATTAGGCATCATAATAACCTTTATGCAACAGCAATGATATTTGACTGTGCCTGCTTCTTCGTGCATCTTTTTTAGTAGTAGTGGTGCTTGCTTCTGGAGCACCCAGCCTTTTTGTCTCTAATTAATATGTATCTTATATATAGACAAGCATTGGATGCTCTGAAAATGTGCATATTATATATGTACATTTATACACTTACCATTGTTATTGTATTCTAATATTTAACAGAACAGTCTGTATCTCATAATACAGTACATAGTATATAATAATTATAACACAACACAATGCATCTCCTACAATATAATTGAGATGTGCATGCACACACTCACAATTGAGTGTCTATAAAATTATTATTTTATGTGATGTAATAGTGTGTATATATATTTTTCTTTCTTCCATACCTCATGGTTGCTTGCAGTGTTTGCTGTGGGTGCTGGCTATGAAATACTAATGCCCCTTCTGGCTGCATGCACTACTGCTATAAACTGCATTTGGCTCTCTAATTGCTGGTCTGGCCACATGGTATTGGTACTTCAGTTCATGGTGGAAATCTTTATGGAGCCTTGGGGTGCTTCAACAGTGGATCTGACTCCAAGGGTCCTTTATTCCTGAAGCAGAGGAATTCCAGAGCACAGAAGTTTTCTCTCAGCCAGAAGCCTCCCATACCTGGGGGATAGCTGGTTATGCCAGATGAACGGAGTAGAGGACTTGGAAAAGAGTGAAGGAGGGTACCCTTCTGGATCCTCGTCCTAAATATATATACCACAGTTTTTCAAATTTAGCATGCCTCTGCATATAATATGCACTGTGTTCTTGAAAGGAACCATACAAAGAGGAAAAAAGTTCTCACTTACCCATAGTACAAGGTAGCAGCAGCTAGGGAGCTGAGCCTATTGCCACCACTGGGTCTCAGGCTGGGTGTGGGGCCTGACCCATTGCATGGGGCAGTATCCTCGGGGTGGGGCATGCTTTCCAGGTATCTGGGAATTCAGTGGTGGGGGAGCAATGGCAGCATTGCCATGGCTTCCAGAGTCACTTGTGAAGCTGTGACAGTTCACATTGCCACTGCTCCTTGTCACCAAATTTCTGAATCCTTGGGGATCGTTACTTCTTGTATATAATGTACACACCAATTTCTCCCCAACTGGTTTTGGGGGGAAAACGTATATGTTGTTCAAGAAAACATGGTAAATAGTGTGTCCTGTAATTGCAAGGGAGCTTCCTGGCCAGGGCACAAGCAGTTAAGTGGGGAACACACAGTTGCATATCAGTCTGAACGTAATTCAGCATTTGGCATCTGCCATTTGAAGAGACTTTTAAGGAAAAGGAGAGAATGGATTTACAATGCCTCCACATCTCTAGTAAATGATTATATCTGCCTCTTACAACCTCCAACCACATTAGGGGCAGTGGGAGTAGGAAGCTTTTTTTTCTTATTTACATCAGTAGAGTGAGCCACGTTAGCCTTAGGTCAGGCAGAATGCAGGGCAGGGTGGCACTGTAGAAAGTAACTTATTCAAAAGACAAGCTTTTATAGGTGATAGCCTACTTCCTCAGGTGCTGTGAAGTAGGCTGTCACCCCTTAAAACTTATGCCTTTCTGAATGTTAGTCTCAAGATTTCATCGGCCACCATTCTTGAAGAATGACATCTCTTTAATCAGCTTTTCAGGGAACATCTTCACATTTTTCTGTGATTTTTTTTTTTTTTTTTAATTGCAGCAAACACCAAATGCTGAATTTTTTTATTTGAATAAAAAAAAGAAAACAACAGAAAGGAATGCCAGTTGGAGGATCTTTTTTTGCCTTTGTTCCCCTCACTCCTCCCGCTGCCCTGCCCTGCCCTCCCCGCCCCAACCTCTTGCATCTGGTATGCTTATTTCCATTAGCACACCACTAAGTTTGGTGTCCTAGAATCTCAATTTGCCATAGCATTCCCATGTATTCTAAACTGGCTTTGCTTCCATGTCAACAAACTATGCAAAGCAGTGGAGAATTGGGTCTACTGTGCTAACCCCATGCTAATGGACTTGCATGATTTCAGGCAATTCTTATGTAATCTGAGAGTCCAAGTTTCTGATAATGCTGCAAAGCTGACTTGCTGGTTGGGGTGTTAATTTGATTTCATTCTTCCCCTCTGGGGGAAAGTTTATAGCCCACTGACTGTTTGTAGCATGACAGCTTAGAAATGCCAGAGATGGGAAATTGGACCAAATGTGCCATTCACAGAGTTACAAATGG